GGGGACCAACAACAACAGAATTCTGTAATAAATACATACATTCACATTTTTTTCAATTTGAACAAAAGCCATTTCTTTGGTCTTTGTAGCAACAAGGTTTTTATTTCCAGGGGTTTATTCCTTGGGGAGGCATATAGTGTGTTTATTTCTTCATATGCAAATCACTTTCAATTTAAATGTGCTGCATTGCTGCTTCTGTTGTGGCACAAACCAACCACCATCCTTTCTTCTTTATTTCCTATTATTTGCTGCTTGACATTATTTTCAGTGATAAATTGCTGAAAAAACAAAAAAAAAATTTAAATAATTTTATGTTTTGATATGCCAAACACGCCAAGTAAAAGAAAAGGTCCTTAATTTAAGTTGTAATTTTTCTTAAATTATCTTGAATTTTTCTTATTATATTGTAGAAAACCAGAAGCACACTTCCAGCGCACTTGGTTTTGAATTGGGATATTTGAAATTATTTAAATTGAAAACTTAGTTTTCTATCGAATTGTTAACGGGTTGTTTTGTTAATGCAAAATAAACAATTCATTATTTAGGATTAAATCTGTTTATGGGTCGTAGCATTGATTGTAATGTAAATTATGTCATATATTTTGCCAGGATAAGTGATTTGAAAAATAGTATAATGTCAATATTATGCAAACATATTAAGTGAATTTATTTAGGATTAAAAAACTGTACTCTTAACAGGAGCAAAGTTTCTATAGAAACTGTCTTTTCACAGAAGCAAACTGGGCTCTTAACACGAGCAAATTTTCTACAGAAAACTGCTCTTAATGGAAGCACATTTCTAGAGAAAACTATACTCTTGCTTAATCTTGTAGAGAAAACTGTGGTCTTAACAGAAGCAAATTTTCTATAGAAAACTGTGCTCTTAACAGAAGCAAATTTTCTATAGAAAACTGTGCTCTTAACAGAAGCAAATTTTCTATAGAAAACTGTGCTCTTAACAGAAGCAAATTTTCTATAGAAAACTGTGCTCTTAACAGAAGCAAATTTTCTATAGAAAACTGTGCTCTTAACAGAAGCAAATTTTCTATAGAAAACTGTGCTCTTAACAGAAGCAAATTTTCTATAGAAAACTGTGCTCTTAACAGAAGCAAATTTTCTATAGAAAACTGTGCTCTTAACAGAAGCAAATTTTCTATAGAAAACTGTGCTCTTAACAGAAGCAAATTTTCTATAGAAAACTGTGCTCTTAACAGAAGCAAATTTTCTATAGAAAACTGTGCTCTTAACAGAAGCAAATTTTCTATAGAAAACTGTGCTCTTAACAGAAGCAAATTTTCTATAGAAAACTGTGCTCTTAACAGGAGCAAATTTTCTGTAGAAAACTGTGCTCTTAACAGGAGCAAATTTTCTATAGAAAACTGTGCTCTTAACAGGAGCAAATTTTCTATAGAAAACTGTGCTCTTAACAGGAGCAAATTTTCTATAGAAAACTGTGCTCTTAACAGGAGCAAATTTTCTATAGAAAACTGTGCTCTTAACAGGAGCAAATTTTCTATAGAAAACTGTGCTCTTAACAGGAGCAAATTTTCTATAGAAAACTGTGCTCTTAACAGGAGCAAATTTTTTATAGAAAACTTTGCTCTTAACAGAAGCAAATTTTCTATAGAAAACTGTGCTCTTAACAGAAGCAAATTTTCTATAGAAAACTGTGCTCTTAACAGAAGCAAATTTTCTATAGAAAATTGTGCTCTTAACAGAAGCAAATTTTCTATAGAAAACTGTGCTTTTAACAGGAGCAAATTTTCTATAGAAAACTGTGCTCTTAACAGAAGCAAATTTTCTATAGAAAACTGTGCTCTTAACAGAAGCAAATTTTCTATAGAAAACTGTGCTCTTTATAGAGTAAATTTTCTATAGATATTTGCTGTCTTTATAGAGCACATTTCCTATAGAAATTTGTGCCCTTATAGAGCACATTTTCTATAGAAATTTGTGCTCTTTATAGAGCAAATTTTCTATAGTAAATTGTGCTCTGTATAGAGAAAATTTTCTATAGAAATTTGTGCTTTTTATAGAGCAAATTTTCTATAGAAATTTGTGCTCTTTATAGAGTAAATTTTCGCTCTGTATAGAGAAAATTTTCTATAGAAATTTGTGCTTTTTATAGAGCAAATTTTCTATAGAAATTTGTGCTCTTTATAGAGCAAATTTTCTATAGAAATTTGTGCTCTTTATAGAGCAAATTTTCTATAGAAATTTGTGCTCTTTATAGAGCAAATTTTCTATAGAAATTTGTGCTCTTTATAGAGCAAATTTTCTATAGAAATTTGTGCTCTTTATAGAGCAAATTTTCTATAGAAATTTGTGCTCTTTATAGAGCAAATTTTCTATAGAAATTTGTGCTCTTTATAGAGCAAATTTTCTATAGAAATTTGTGCTCTTTATAGAGCAAATTTTCTATAGAAATTTGTGCTCTTTATAGAGCAAATTTTCTATAGAAATTTGTGCTCTTTATAGAGCAAATTTTCTATAGAAATTTGTGCTCTTTATAGAGCAAATTTTCTATAGAAATTTGTGCTCTTTATAGAGCAAATTTTCTATAGAAATTTGTGCTCTTTATAGAGCAAATTTTCTATAGAAATTTTTTCTCTTTATAGAGTAGATTTTCTATAGAAAACTGTGCTCTTAGCATGAGCAAATTTTCAATAGAAATTTGTGCTCTTATTAGAGCAAATTTTCTATAGAAATTTGTGCTCTCTATAGAGCAAATTTTCTATAGAAATTTGTGCTCTTTATAGAGCAAATTTTCTATAGAAATTTGTGCAATTCTTCTATAGAAATTAGACTCAAACTGTTGATGAATTATGAACCCATATAAAGTCATAAGAAAATCAATATTTATTTGTTAAAAAGTTATTGAAAAAAACTTTCAGATGTTTTTGTTTGTTTCTTCTTTTGAATAGAATATTAAAACTATAATTCCCCAGGCACTTTTACCACCTTCATTTATGAGTTATAAGGTAAAGGAAAAAACGAAAAAAAAAAAAAGATTTAATAACACGTTCATCATTTTAAATCAGTGAGAAAGAAGATGTACACACTGCACTGGCTGCCACAAAAACTGTGCGTTATTGTTTTGCTACAAGTTGCAGTGTTAATATTGACACGACTTCAGAGACCTAAGAAACTTTTCAAAAATCAAGAAGAACGTCAGGAAAGAATATTAATAATTTTATAATTTTTAACGTAACGAAGTGTTATTTACATGGTATAGATGGATGGATGCCTTTGTTTATGAATCTTTGAAAAATTGTTACACAAACAATGGGGGGATAATAACAAACAAAACCTCAGCTCAAGCTCTCTAAGGGAACAAACAATAGGCCTAAAGTTAGAGCTCTCGTCAACAACAACAAGAGTTGTGTCTTTTTTTTTATTATTAATGGCGTAAAATAATAAATATTTATTAGTTTTAAAACATTTTCATGCCACAGTTGTTGTAATATGAGAGTGAAATATTTATTGAATAGTTTGTTTGTTGTTGTTGCTGTTGTTTGTTATTATTCATAATGTATCTTCTTCTTTTTGTGATATATTTTTTCATTTTCAGTTTTTTTATTATTTTCTTTTGTTAGTTGCTCTATTGTTGTTTGAAATTATTATTGTTATTGTTGTAGTTGTTGCTGTTTTTTTTTTTTTTTGGGAAGAGAGCTTTTTTTCTTAAGTGGTTATGATTAATGTGCGAAAACGTGTTAAATGTTTTTAAGAATATCATTTCATCTCATATTATCTTGTCTTTTACTTTAGCTGTAGTTTTGACGTTTCCCCCTTTTCTTAATCATTTAAAATTCTATAAAGTTCTCAGGTGCGACGTGCATTTTTGTTTGGCATCTTTTAAGTTTAAACAATGAATATTGATGATGACAATATTATTAAAAGTTTTAACATGAAAAGGCTTTTTCAAAAATTTCAAAATTAAGTTCGAATTTTCGAATATCCAAAATTTAAGCTTAATGGTAAACAAAATTTAATATTTTTAAATAATTATATCGAAAATTATGTAAAATTAACGTTTCAAGCGATTTTGAAGCATTTTTGAAAATTTCGAAATTAAGTTTGAATTTTCGAAAATCCTAAATTATGCTCAAATTGAAGAAAATTTTGTATTTCTATAGTAAAATAGACTTAATAGTGTTTTTCCACTATTTTTAGACATTTTCGAAAATTTCGAAATTAAGTTCGAATTTTCGAAAATCACTAATTTGACCTAAAATGCCTCAAAACTGGTAATCTAGCAAAAAATTTAAATTAAAATCATTATTCTAAGATTTTTTTACATTTTTGAGAATTTTCGAAATTAAGTTCGAATTTTCGAATATCACAAATTAGACTAAAATTGTGAGATTTAACGATTTTTTCACAATACAACTACATATTAGTTAAATTTTAACGGTTTTTAGACATTTTTGGGATTTTCGAAATTAAGTTCGAATTTTCGAAAATCACAAAATTAGGCTCAAAATGCAGGAAAACTTAAAATCTACCAATATTTGTATTTAGTTAACATTAAAATCAACTTTGTAAGATTTTAAGACATTTTTGAGAATTTCGAAATTAAGTTCGAAATTTCGAAAATCACAATTTGGGCTCAAATTTGGAAGAAAACATGGGCTTAAAAGATATTTTCACAATAAAACTGCAATAAGATGAAATTTAACGATTTTTAGACATTTTCTGGAATTTCGAAATTAAGTTCGAATTTTCGAAAATCACAAAATTAGGTTTAAATTAAAGGAAATGTTAAAATCTAGTCATATTTAGCGCTAAAATTGCTCTAAAGTTAATTTTTAAGGACTTTTAGCCTTTTTTAGAAATTTCGAAATTAAGTTCGAATTTTCTAAAATCTCAAAATTATACTCAAATTAAAGGAAAACTTGAAAACAAGTGAGAATTTGTATTAAATGTTTCTCATAAATGATTTTAAGCACACTTTTACATTAAATACTTTATTTAACAATAAAACTGTTTTAAACTTTTAGGACGACTACACAGGGAGCAACACCAGGCAGCAAGCAGTTAACAGCAGCCTTTGCCTAAAAAAAATCTTAAAAAACGGAAACGGCTCAACATGATTTACCAATATTTAGAACACAGTAACAACACTTTTTTATTACAACGTGGAACTTTTTGTGATTTTTTTTAAGTTACTACAAAACCATTCATTAGAACTACATAGTTTGACACTTAAACCACAAGAGTTCGGCAAATTTCGAAATGAAGAGCGTAAACGACGACAAAGAAAGGAAATTAACAAAGCGGCTGGAAATGCTAAAATTATTACTATTAGAAGAAAAAGGGTTGTAGCAGCAGCACAACAGTGAGGACGTGAGAACATTACAAATTCAAAGTGAGTATAATACAAATACATTTAAATTGTTTCTTTTTTTGTGATTTTAGAAATTTATGGAAAATGTAGCCGTATAAATTTAATGGTGTCATTATTGTTATTGTTGTAAGGCGAAATTTAACCCCTTACGGTTATTTGAATGTTATTTAGAGCCTTTGTTAATTGTGAAACAATTTTAAACAATTAATTTAAAACTGTGTTAAATTTAAAAGCCACCACCACTACCCCATAAGGGAATTTTTTTCTCTCAGATTTTTTGCCATAAAGTAAGAAATTGTTAAAATTTGCACTATTTCGAAAAAAGTAGGTGTTGCCTATAAAAAGTCATTAATTTTTGATTTTGCAATTTAAAAAAATTGATTTTAAAGTTTTTTATTTCTTAAATAAAGATGTTACCCCATGACACCACATGTAAACGCCTCCTAAGGAGGCGTGTAAAAGGTCATAACCTTTAACGCTTAATTTTATGGCTGCATTGACAACAATTTAATGCTTTTTTTCTGCATTAATCGATATTCATTAATGGGTTTTAGTTTTTGCAATATTTAAAAAAACAAAAGGGTTACATACATATTTGCCAAAAAAAAGTGAACAGCTGGTGGCAAAATTTGATCACTAAATATTTGCATGTTATGTAAAATATTTGAAATTAGGCGTGACCTGTTAGCAGTTCCATAAATTATAGCAAATCAAACATATGTGTAACAAATAACGCCATTAATAGGGAACTAATTGCTAATATAACGTTCAATTGACAAGCAAATAATGTTTAAATTATAAAAAAAAAATGTTCTTTAACTGCTGCCACAGAAGCTGTAAAGTAAGCGAAACTATTTTGATTCAAATTAAGAAAAACTAAAGCAAACATATTGACGACTAACGCTATTAAGCATTCAGCTTTATATTAGAGATTTTTAGGCATTTTTATTAATTTCGAAATTAAGTTCGAATTTTCGAACATCACTAATTAGGCTGAAAATGCAAGAAAATGTGTAATCTACTGAAATTTTTATATTACAACAACTTTAAAGTAAATATTTTGAGATTTTTTAACATTTTTGCTAATTTCGAAATTAAGTTCGAATTTTCGAACATCACTAATTAGGCTCAAAATGCAAGAAAATGTGCAATCTGGTGGAAGTATTATAATAAAACAACATTTAGGTTACAAATTTTAGATTTTCCGACATTCTAGCAAATTTCGAACATAAATTCGAATTTTCGAAATTCACAAAATTATGCCAAAAATAAAAAAATTTTATAAATTTTCAGCTAAAAGCTATTAAAGTTAAATTTCAAAGGTTTTAAGACATTTCTGCTAATTTCGAAATTAAGTTCGAATTTTTCGAACATCGCCAATTGAGTGAAAAATAAAGAAAATTTGGTAATCTAACAATATAAAGTTCGTAAAACATTATTAAAAGTAATTTTTGAAGGTTTTTAGAAATTTTTATTAATTTCGAAAATAAGTTCGAATTTTCGAACATTATGAATTTGGCTCAAAATGCAAGAAAATGTATAATCTACTGAGATGTGTATAATGAAACAACTTTAAAGCTAATATTTTGAGATTTTTGGACATTTTTGCAAATTTTCGCAAATTTCGAAATTAAGTTCGAATTTTCGAACATTACAAATTTGGCTAAAAATGCAGCAAAATGTGTTATCTAGAGAAATTCTTGCAATAAAACGTCTTTTAAGTAAAAAGTTTGAGATTTTTGGACATTTTCGCAAATTTCGAAATTAAGTTCGAATTTTCGAATATTACAAATTTGGTTCAAAATGCAGGAAAATGCATAATCTTGAAAAAGTATTATAATAAAAATCAATTTGAGTAAAATGTTTGAGATTTTTGAACATTTTTGCAAGTTTTCTCAAATTTCGAAATTAAGTTCGAATTTTCGAACATCACAAATTTGGCTCAAAATGCAGGAAAATGTGTTATCTAGAGAATGTCTTATAATAAAACACCATTTAAGTCAAAAGTTTGAGATTTTTGACATTTTTGCAAATTTTCTCAAATTTCGAAATTAAGTTCGAATTTTCGAACATTACAAATTTGGTTCAAAATGCAAGAAAATGTGTTATCTAGAGAAAGTCTTATAATAAATCACCATTTGAGTTAAAAGTTAGAGATTTTTGGACATTTTTGCAAATTTTCTCAAATTTCGAAATTAAGTTCGAATTTTCGAACATTAAAAATTTGGCTCAAAATGCAGGAAAATCCATAAGCTAGAGAAAATTTTATAGTTAAACATTATTTAAGTTAAATTTTACAAGTTTTTTGACATTTTTATTAATTTCTAAATTAAGTTCGAATTTTCGAACATCTCAAAATAGGCTCAAAAGGCAGAAAAATGTATAATATTATAATAAAACACCATTTACATGAAAAATTTGAGATTTTTTGACATTTGAAAATACAAAATCTTGTTTGAATGATTTATTAAAATTAAATTTAGAAATTAATTTATTTTGTCTATTGAAAGAAGTATTAATTTATAATTTGAATCTTATTATTTTTTATCAGTGTTCATTATCCATTTAGCAGTTTTTTTTAAGAAAATTCTTTGATATTTTTTCCTATAAAAAAAAAAACAAACCCAAAAATACTAAAACTGCAAATCATCATAAAGGTTTTTTTCTCAATATGTGTTTAATAAAATACCTACAAATACAAATGTATTATTGTTCTGTACATTATTTGTATCCTGTTTACTGTCATTCATTTTAATGGACATAGAAAGATAGAATCATTTTTTTTGTTGCTCTTTTGTTGTTGTTCTGTTTATATATGATATTGTGTTATAGTTTTGGTCCAGTATTTACTTTTTTATCTTTCATATTTTATTATTATTTTCTGTATATTTTTTTATTGAAAATCATGTCAAATAAGCTTCTGATTAACAGCAACAACCACTATGGCTGTGGCCAAGTGTTTTTGGTTGAACGCTGGGAAAAAGTTTAGTTTTAAACAGATGAGTACTCTAAATGCATCCATATGTTGTGTTGTTCTCATTTCTTAATTGAAATGATGTGGTGAATGATTAAACTGAATTCCTGTGTAATGTTATTTATTGTGTGTTATTTTCGGAACAACATCACTTCCTAGATACTTGGATCTAACTTCGACGAATGCCTGACAATGGCAAAGAAAGTGTTACAGAGTTTCACTGTCCTCTCCACAAGCTCTACATTCGTCTGAATCCACACGTCCAATTTTGTATAGATGTGCTCGTAATCCTGTGTGTCCACTTAGAATACGTACCGTCATACTAAAATCAGAATTGCTCATTTTGAGGAGATTTCTCGCCTTGCTCTCATCGGGGTCACCCCATAGGATCTTTGAGGTTTTACCCACCGTTTCATTATTCCAAGAGGCCTTATGGAATTCTCTCACAAATATTTTGAATTCACATTGAAAAGTGTTCTGACATAAATGGTAACTTTAGTAAGGTCCATTGACCAGTTAGATTTAGACTTATTTCGAAAACTTTATCGGCTTTGGTGGTTGCCGTAGTATTTTGAATCTTATGTAGCGATGATCAGAAAAGGAGTGCTCGTCCGAAACTCTTCAATACTGAATTTCGTTTATAATCTCTTTTGAACATATAGTTAATATAGCTAATACTTCTTCTCTGATTCTATTGACGAAGGTAGCTTTATTACCTAAGTTCAATGCGATCAAGTCTAAGGAAATCCATGAGGGCCTAGTCCTCTGCGATTGGTGTTTGTATCACAGTTTTATCAGATCCTACGTTGGTGGTAGTGTCGGGGAATCCAAGGGCAGGTAAACAGATGCAAGGTATATGTTGCCACGATCTTGCTTCAGCATCGTTGCATCCGATGTAGATAATCCTGTCGAGAGGAGAAAATACAAGTTCTCGGGCGAGACCCTGTAACAACGTAGAAAAGTTGGAAATTTACGTGATTTAATCCAGAAATCTTGTTGCGAATCCAAGTCCAAGGTTCCTGGATTAAAGTTATATGTATCTTACTTGTCTGTGTTAATTTCAGCCATCAGAGCGTTAGTAGCTGTCTCGCTCTGATGGAGGCTTATTTGGCTAATCTCAATCATGGTCATCCATTTAATTGACTTCCAGCGAGTTGGTGAACACCTCTGCGCTCTTGGATTTGACTCCTCTGGGTAGCCTTCGGTTGCAGTGGGTACTATTGACGGCACTGCGGTGACCTTATCAGGCAGGAATATCAGTCTTCTCAATTTTGGAAAGCACTGCTGTTCTGTCTTCATCCTCGCTTTTAGGATTTGACTCCTCAACATTACTAGCACTTGCTAATGATGCTTTGAATACCGTCTTAGGTGTTTTAGTGTCTTTGTCTGGGACGGTTTTAACAGCCCTTTCAATCGGCGCCTTCCAATTTTGAAAAGGCCAGCTGCACTTTCTTTTGGCGAGTTAGTGGTAACTTCCTCTCTTTTAGGATTTGACTCCTCAATGTTATCAGTAGTGGCTAGTGATGCTGTGGTCTTCGGTTTTTCGAGTTGTAATAGCCCTTCCAATCGGCACCTTCCCAATTTTGAATTTAACAGCTTTAGAGGCGAAGTAAGCCCTACCTTTATTCTTGGCAACACTAGCCATGGAATTCCGGTCGATAGCTATTAAAAATAAAGTTCGCTCAGGTTCTTCTTCTTTTCTGTAAAAGACATACCATTTTTCCACGGCCAGCTCAGCATTTTGGCCACCAAGAATTTCCAGTACATCTTCATTAGCCAGTTTGCTGACCCATTATCCTTTTATGTAGACAGTGGACTTTAAGAGCAACGGAAGTTCGCTCTTCTTTGCCTGTCCCAGCTTAGCGCCGTCCCAGGGAGGAGGGATTTAGGGTGCTAACACATTGGTGAGATCACAACCTCATCAATATCGTGCCCATGCTGAACTCGCAGCTCACGCTCTCTATTGGTTGTTTGTCCTTTGAAGCGATTGCTTATTGTCGACCAGGTCTTCTATTTTACTCTGTTGCTATATTGGTAGTTTGCCCTT